GATGTTAGTCTCCAAATTATCAGCTTTGCTAACCAAACTCATGCAGCACCAACCAAGTTGTCGGCAATGTCAAGCGTGGTACTCTCACTGCCTTTGCCGTCAGTTGCGGACAGATTGGTGGAATCATCTCCGCCCTCGTATTCCCATCAAACGATGGCCCTCAGTATATTCCAGGCGTGTCGGTCTGCATTGCCTTCCAGGTAACGGGTATCATCGCGGCCATCAACATGTGGGTGTGCTGCGCATGGGAGAATCGTAAGCGCGAGGCAGGGAAGCGTGATCACTTGCGAAACCTGACGGAGGCGGAAATCAATGATCTCGGAGAAAAGCACCCAGACTTCCGGTATACCCTTTAATCTCTAGTTAGCTTGACGACGAGTATGGGTCAGAGGAGATCAAAGTGTACATGCTTTGAGATGTCTTTCCTCCTGTAGGTACTTTACTAAGCTGCGAAATTCTGGCAAACCTTCAAGATACTCTTGACAATGACCCCGTCTCAATAAGAACTTCATCTAATCGGCTCCTTAAATTACCCACTCACTCTTAAATATTCATAATATTCTCGATTACAACAGTAGCTAGCATTTTCTGCCTACAAATAATACATACATTGCGTCCCTGACGTTCAACTCGATGCGGGATCACCATATCCAGCCAGAAACAACTGCATATTCGACCACTCGGAGACAGGCATTTCTCCATCTCCCGGCAGTGGCATGTTCATCCCCATCGCATCCTCTCCAAATGTCATGAAGGGGAAGAGATCCAGCATTCCCGACGGGTTGCCGAAGTTTTGAAGCGACATTTCGTCCATGGGCCCCGCCATGTTAGGGTTGGTGCTAGAGCTAGGCGTTCCATATTGCTGTGGCCCAGCTTGTAAAGCAGTGATATAATTCCCAGGAAACTCCTGGCGCTTTTCGAGATTGACGCATCCCGCAAACGTATCGACCACTCGAGCGAAGCGTTTCATCGATCCAGACTTGTCGGTGCCATTAATGACATCGCGAACCGTAGATACGAGGTTATATAAATGAGTGTGTAGCTCCTCGGTCCCTGCTCCCGGCTCTTGCAAGTCTTGTCCAGGTGGCAGGAGGAGGCGGAGGATGAGAATCATGGCGGCACAATAACAGTAAAATATATCCAACCCAGTAAGTCCATTGAGGACATCAAAATGGTCCAGCAGTAGTATGAGGTAGCAGAGCTGAGACGCATGGTTAACGCAGACAGCTGCGTGTGGCGATAGACGTTCCGGTTTAGACGATGCAGGTTGGCCAGACGCTTTGCGCATCATGGACACATTGCGGAGCAAGATGGATCTTGTAGCCACTATGGCAATATAGTGGAACTGAATGTGCAACAGCAGGACAGCTCGCAGTTGCGATCTCGTCTTCCACGCAAGCGATGCTTTCAGATCCTCCAAGTCCAGGGCCCCTGTCCCATGAGCAGCCTCCTCTACTCCAGGAAGTCTAACCAAAGGTACATCAAACCCAGGTACCTGGCTTATCTCAAGCTTCCAATTTCTCAGGGTGGTGAGGACTTCCTCGACAGTAGGTATTGAGGAGGATGCCCGCTGGCTCCTACCAATATACATTAATCGAGTCCGTCCAAGTATTGCCTGAAGCTTGAGCGACCAAGACAGGAGCTTGGCATCCGTGCCGCCGCTGCCATCCAGGAACCCCTCACGAGGGGCGACGATCTCAGCATCTGTCTCGTGGATCCCGCTCGGACGACCCAGGCTCAGCTCGAGAAATTGGTCGAATGAATACAAAGTACAAAACACGAGCCGGCGGATCTCTCGCTCAAGAGGGCGAAAGGAAGACGCCATGTCCGATCGATGAAGACCGAGAGCAAACGAGATCCTGGTGGCCGTACCGACAAGGTTCCACGCAGCATTGCGCTCATTATTATTATGCAGGAACAGTGCCAGTAAGAGCAGCACGCGGACATTTGTCAGGGAGCATTTCGATATAAATTGCGGCAGGAGGCTCCGCGCCATCGATACGGACGTCCGTCGGAGCTGAGCATGGTCGAGGTTCGGGATATTTCGGTTCGTGATAGATCCAAACACGATCACCATGTATAAACAGCCAATCCAACCCCAGTCCGGGCGAGGTCGTGTCCGGGCGAGATGAGGATTCCTTCGCGTCCGGACAACGAAGAGCTCATATTCATCTTCGAAAGTCGCGCGATGGAACAAGGGGAAATCGTCATGCACGTTTTTGAAGTAAGAGTGGATGAGTAACTCCAAGATTTCATTTGGAGGCAGCTGTCGCACAATCTCTTCCATATCGGCAATTGGGAAACGCGCAAAATCTCGTGCAATGGCTGAGGTTATAGAGTCAGGGGAGACCCCGTCTGTTTGTATAGAGTCGACGGTAGTGGGATCGGCCTGCTCGGGATGTTGTTCTTCGGCATCATCCGCTTCGAGGGCTTGAGCAATGTCATCGCCCGTGAATTTCGCGGCTCCCTCCGGTTTCGTCGTGGCACTGCCACCAGGCGCACTGTTTGAGTCGACGAGATGCCGGAGTTGATTCAGAAAGTTCAGAGTACCTGAAGGACCTATGTAGTGTTCGTGACCCGAGGTGTCTTTGATCATCGAGGCTTCTGCCTCGTCGCTGTGAGAGCTGGCTGTGAGGCGCGACGATTGGTTTTGGGGCTCGACAGTAGAGGAATGGCCGCCAATGGATGATGCGGGAGGAGTAAGCTGTCGACCTCCTCGTGATAACTCGTTCATATCTACCTCTGGTCTATTTGGAGAGGTTATATCGGGCATCGCATAACCCATTCGACATCCGAGATTGACTAAATCTGCGGCAGACTCAACAGGAGCATCGGGGAATGCGCCTTTGACGATGGCCTCTAAACAACGATATCTGCAGGCGGTAAGCCCCCTGTACCTGCAAGGTACTGTCAATGTTGAACATACCGGTCACTTAATTCTTCCACACTACCGTAGAAGCGAGTTTTCCTCGGGGCAGTGTATGAACAAGTCGCATTGTGCTCCTGGCACATGACGCATCCATCGCCGTTGACGGATGGCACACACCTACATCGTCTCTGTATCGCGGTGTCAAGTCAGCAAATACAGCCAAGACCCAAGGGATTGCTCAGGACTTAGCACACCTTACGACAACGATCACAACTCTGTGCATTCCGCTTTCGGAACTCTTCGGGGATGCGACGTCCCCGGCGCCGGGCAGCAGAGAGTGAGTCAGGCATAGCAGCGCTAGGAAATCAGATCGACCCAGCGGGAGAAAGGGTGCTGAGCAGTGTTTCGGCTGCGGAGGAGCGAACAGAGGAGTCAGCGAATCGATGTCACCGACAGAGTGAGATGGAGATGGAGATGGAGATTCATCTGGGGTCGGGGCCCCGGTTGCTGTTGTGGAGAAACAGAGTTTCTAGCCCACAGCTGGCGCGGGGTCATGAGGAGCTAGGAAGCATGCATCCGATGATGCTTCTGGTATTAGTGGCAGATTAGTCAAAAGCTTCTGCGGTATATCATGGTTGAGGGGTCGATTTGCATGTGCCAGAGCCCAGTAGTTTAGGAAACCTTCTGTTTACAGCATTCCTTAGCACGTTCACCATGGCCAGCAAGATCTCACTCCCAAACTCAAGAACGTTATCATACGTTCTCGATGAGACTCCAAAGGATGGGCCCGTTGTCTTACTGTCAAACTCGTTATGCGCTCCTTTCGGCGCCTGGGATCATTTTGTCAAGATACTCAATAGCAATGGCTTCCGAACACTGCGGTATGATCAAGTAGGGCACGGTCAATCTTCATCTCCTCCAGAATTAAACACGACATTTGACTCCATGGCCGCCGACGTCTACTCCCTTCTTCAAGCCTTGAATATTTCCAGTTTACATGGCTGGGTCGGCGTGTCAATGGGCGCAGCAAAGGGGGTATGCTTCGTTTCTAAGTATCCCAAAATAGTTCGCAAACTCGTCATTTGCGACACAATTTCAGCTTCACCTATCAACCTTGGCGGTGCCGATGTATTTGGTCCAAGAGTTGCAGCCGCTAGAGAAGCTGGTAGTCTAGAAGACGCCATTCAGTCAACCTTGGATCGCTGGTTTGGCAAAACTTGGCTCGAAGGAAATCCCAAGGAGGCCGATCGGGTGAGAAATGTCATGAGAGGCACCACTCTTGATGGTTTCGAGGCTTGCTGTCACGCTTTGAGAAGCTCGAGCTTTGACTTGCGGCCAATCCTGAAAGATGTTGGTTCCTCAGTTGAAGATGCCCTTTGTGTGGTTGGGGAGAAAGATGCAAACCTACCTCAGACAATGGATGAGATGAGGAAAGAGATAGAGGTAGGGTTCAGGGCGTCAGGAAAGGACAACATCATTCGTCTCGAGGTGATAAAGAATGCTGGTCACGTATGTTTCATCGATGGACTGGAACAATTTTCCCAGACTGTCGTGCCTTGGTTGATCAAGAATTAGAGAGGAACTTTTCTTCCAATACATCATTGAGCCTAGGCCCGGCGATTCTCTTTTCGAATTCTCAAGAATAAATCGATTAGTATTATTTCGGTTCATGAATCACTACGTCTAGTACCTGCCATGAATCCGCTCGCACTCAATTAAACGCTGTACTGTAATTAGAATAATCCTCCTATTTCCAAACACAACTAATCAAAGGCGCTGCATTTCCTTTGACCGTGTTGCAATCTCGTTCCCCTTACAACGGATACACAGCCTCTGTAATTGCGAGTTCAGTTCACCTTGGACAACCCAGAGAGACACGCCGCTCCAGTTTTAATGACGGTCCATCAACAGGGGTCCAATTGTGAGAAATTACCATAACAGGAAGATCCTAGCGAAATCAGCGAGAAGGGTCATTCTTGGTGTTCAAGGGTTTGGCTGCGCCACTATATAGCACCATTCGGATCGCATTGGTCTGTCCGCGCATCGAGAGATCTCCTTTCTATCTTTCTCTTTCTTAGTTCTCATTGAATTTTAGTTCCCTCATCAATCCATCATCATATTCTCGCTCAATATGGCGACCTTCAGGCCGCGTTACAAAACGCTTAATTCGCTCCACTTTCCAGGGACACAGGCCGCAAGGAAGAATGATTCCTTTCATTTGTTTCCTAAGTTACCGACAGAAATCAAATTACAAATATGGAAAACAGCCTTTGTTTCACGCCGCCGGCTTATCACAATTCGCCTCACTGATCCTAGCGCTACAGAGCACGTTGATCCATATGGGAGCTACGAAGAAACAGTTGGCTCTACCGATTTTGTCGATTTTAACCTTTGGCACGACAAGCCAAGTCCATGTCATCAAGAAACCTGGAAGGTTTCCATTGACCAAAAGCCCCGCCGTAACCCTCTGATGCAGATATCTCGCGAGTGTAGACAACTTGCAAAGCATCAGTTCCGACTTCCCCTGTGTTCGAACACCGCCTCTGACCTGCCGCAACCTACACTGTGGCTAGACCCGGAGAACGACTACATATTCATAGCGCAATTCGATGTGCCGACTCCGACATTTATCTCATTCATTAATCATATGAGACACTCTGATCCCCGTGGGGCGGGGATATTACACATCGCATTCGATAGCCGATGCAGAGATAGCCTACGCGGGCTTGAGGCGTTGTCTCGAGAAGCAACTCTTGCCACAAACACGTTGAAGACCTTCCAAGAAGCAGTTTTTCGGCTTAAATCTGTCTGGTTCATTCACCTTCTCGGTGCTGATTCAAGGATAATGGTAGGGCCTCTATCGGGGACGAGTAACACAGCAATGGGCCTCAATCGAAGTATTCCCATCTTCCCACACGCGGTTGAATTTGATTTATTCACTCCTGACCCACGACCAATCCAAGCCAGTCTTAGGGGCCAAACAGTGTGGAATGATCCGAAGAAGCCAGTTGAGGCATGGTTGAGGATGGAAAGGGTGCTGGGGCTTGACCGGCAAAAGGTGGGAGAGGCTGCTTCCGTATCAAGTACTGAATCCATCAGTACAATTTCGCACATTCTCGCCATGTCTGGACGGAAAGGACTCATAAGCGACGCATATTTCGATGTAAGATGTTCTCAAACTATGGACTTGGCTCTCAGAATCGAACAGGAAAGCATCGACCAAATGGCTGACAGGGGCGGGTATTTTGAGGTAATAAGAGAAATGGAGCCTGTGGAGAGCAAGGAAAACCTATTATCGGCAGCAGGGTTTTGGATCTTCCCTGAGGGTACGTTTGACACTCTCTTTGAGAATCCACGCTACGAGGGCAAGGCATATCAAGACTTAACGGGTCACCAACCCTCTCTGGGATTGTTCGAGCTACAGCCATAATCCAGAAAATAAAAACATGATTCATCAATGAGCATGAATTTCACTTATTAAGAACAAATTGTCACCATGAAGTAACTTGTGCGAACCTCGTGAGTGCCGTAAATCTAGCGGCCATACCGCTCAATTCTCTGGGAAAATGACGGCCTCATTGATCGATCTAGAGTTTTTGCCCGGCCACTAGGCAACATGGACCTCTTAATTGAATTATGAGTCCTCTTGAGGGTTTGGAATTCACTGCTTAATTCTATTCAATTTGTCTTCGCATACAGATAGCTGCTGCCTCGTTACCTGTCATTTCCGCACTTGTTTTCAGAGTGAGATAAGGCAAGAGATACACGCAATCAATGGGGCCAAAAGTATTTGAGAGGATAGATATATCATTATTTATAAATAAAAGTCAACGCTAGACATTATTCCTGATGTACAGTGACATTATGCTGATTCATGGTCTCGTATGTGTTCTTGAATATTCCTATTGCACCTCTACTGCCAGAGGAAAATCCCATCGCACCTTCTTCGGTCGCCTGTTCTTCGGCCTGCGTCCGGTTGACATTGCTGTAGGCAGAGGGGAAGGGTAGCTGGTATGGGCAAGACTGCTTTGGCCCTGCTGCTGGGGGCGGTGTGGTCTCTGCGTCGCCCGGGCATCTTCTTCGGCTTGGAGCCTGGCAGCGAGAGCAGCGTCGCTCTCTATTGAGTGGTGGGGTTTGCGGATTGGTTTTTGACTTGGCATGTTATGATGATTGTAATTGTAGTTGTTGTGGTTGAGGTTGTGGTTGAGGTTGTGGTTGAGGTTGTGGTAGGAATTGGAGTTCCCATAGCCCGGTTGGTGAGCATTCTCTTCGGCCTGCAGCCTTGCTGCTAATGCTGCATCTTTGGCAATTTGGCTCTTGCCTGAAGGTCGTAGAGGTCGTCGTTGTGGGACCAAGCCTGATGGAAGAGACCCGGTTCTCGATGACGATGGAAGGTAAGTCGAGTACATCGCTGGAAATTGTGACGATGGGTTTTGTGTATGTGCAGTTTCTGATATGATATTGATGTTTGAGAGTCAATTAAGCTATGGGAGCTAATCGGTTGTGCAGCTTCCCGCTCCCTCATATACATCCCATCCCTGCCACATCGAGGCGGAGTATTTTGGCCGAATCCGGCGAACATCTGCCTCCGCCACAGTGTTGCGCCGCCCAAAGGGGCTGGAGCATACCGACGGGAGTCTCGGCGTGGCTGTGCTTAGCTGCTCCCCCACCAGCATTCGCAGCAGCATTCCACCGCCCCTATGACATCATGGGCATGCCGTCCCCACAATTGGCCTGAGAGTCTAGACCGAGAATCACGTGCATTTCCATTCTTCCAGCCAATCACAGCTGAACGGACGGATAAATCACAACGCCGACCTTGTAGGCTACCCTATAGTTGCTTGTCTTGATGCCATATTCCTACGTCTGCCAGGCATATCCTGGGAGGAAGTGGTATTTTATCCTTCTATTGAAGGGGGCTAATTACGTATCAAGATTAACTAGTACATTATCTGCAAGCCTCTCCGTTTTAGGGATTCAGGATGTGTTTTGTCAACATTTATCTCATTTACTCCTAACAAACCATCATGAAGCTCTGGTCAAGATAACAAGAGGTTAACTCTTTCAACTCTTTTGTGACATTGCAATATAATACTGAAAAAACAATGATAATTTGACGCCGATTATTAAACTAACCATAAAGGAGAATAAAACCCCAAACCAGAAAATGAGGTACTGTATGAATTGAATCTTGGTACCCAAACAGAGTGTGTGTAAGCTGACGCCTGGGAGTGGAGTCCAACAAGGGTTGAGTACAATTTCCCAGTGTGGGGACAGGCTTATAAATGATGGGACGGATTGCTGAGTTACCAATCTCTCGGATGCAAATTGTATCCGATACTTGTTAGTAGTCGTTGTAGTAATCCAAACTGTCAGTCAAAGACCAGGGCTCACTCTTAAAAGCCTGAGGTATCGCAGGTTTAAAATTGATCTAGTAACTCGAAAAAGACATAGTAATTCGATTTGATTTGGTCTTTCCGCTTTGTCCACCAATTCTACCTAAGCTTCACTTGTGGGCTCATGGTTAACATGCTCTTTTCTACCATATCAATCGCGGCCGCGCTAGTCAGTGTAGCCACTGCAGCAGTAGTCCCGAGGGCGAATACATCTATCGGCAATATCCAGTTACCGGCCAAGACTGTTGCCAGTCTGAGCGAGATAAACACCTTCTTGGAGAACCTTGCACCGCGAAAAAATGGAGATCTTGTCGTTTCCATGCTTCAAAAGAACGCGACCTTGCACTACATAAAGGATCCAACATCTGGTCATGCGGAACTGACCCCCATCTATACATTCCCCAACGCAAGCGGGATGTTGGGCATAGGAGAAGTCAGCAAAGACACGTTCTTGATCGCCATGCACGACTTCAAGTCGTTCCTTGTCCCATATCCTCACACTGGTGCTGTGTGGGAAGTCAAGTTCAATGGCGGTGGCCCTAAAGACTTCCGGGTTAGAAAGGTTGCCGACCTACCGGATGTGAACATGCTCAACGGAATGGCCGTGATTCCTCCCAAATGCTCCGGTCGTCGGCCCCAGAGACTCGCCTCTGTCCTGATTGCAGACTGCCTCCAGGGTCAGCTTATCCGTCTCGATCCCTCAACAGGAGCATATAAAGTTGTTCTTGACATCCCAGAGTTGCACGCTCCTGACGGCTCGCAATTCCCTACGGGCGTAAATGGGCTCAAGATCCACAGAGAGCATGTATACTGGAGCAACACCGCAAAGCTCACGATAAACCGCATTGCCATCGATAGTGATGGTTATCCCGTGCGCAATGCAACGGTGCAGGTATTTGACATCTCGTCCTGGGGAGGTGCCCTCGACGACTTTGTCTTTGATGAAAAGGACAATATCTGGGGCGTCAACAGTCTCACTAACACCATTTATGTCTTGTACCACGGCACCAACCCTTCAAGCTTATATACTACCTATCAGTCCGTCGCTGGAGCCCTCGACTCGCTGGAGCTCCCAGGCCCTACGGCAGTCACATGGGGCGCGGGAAAGCATGATAAACACATTCTTTATGTCACTACATCCGGTGGGACCGTCCAACCAGTCAATGGGCAACAAGAGCCTGCTAAGGTTGTCGCTATCGACGCTTCCAGCCTTCGGAAGTAGATAGCCAGGTTGAAGAACAGCCATAAATCGCTCGTAATTGTTTTCCAAAGGTGCCGAGAAACTGAGGAGTTAATTTCGTTATTTGTCTATGGCATGTTGGGAGGAGCTCGAACACAGCGGAAAATATGTGTTAGATTGGTGTTGGACCCATAACGCTGAACAATTCGATAGATAGAACTGAAAGAACTCATTTGATATTTTAATCTTGCTGAGGAACTTTATACTTCGCTTTAGTTTATGGAGATTGATTTGATTGATGACATCACGATATCTACGTCTCCGGTATGTAAGATAGACTGATCTTGTTCCTCTCAGAACCTAGCATGGCGTCTTTGACCACGCTATGCGACCTTGTTAGGCTCTGAGCTTGCGAATCGATATCAAGTCCCTCATCATCTATATAGTTCAATGCAATTTGGGGCTTGTGTGATTGGTAAGACTTGGTGTGGAAGCGGAGTTTGTGGTTAAGTCCGAGTCGCACCAGGTTAAATATCATTTCGTTGTGGCCCACGGCCGGCTGAGCCAGACTACGGCGTTTACCATGGGCGAATACAGGTTTGTTCCCGTCAATCAGTTGGGCTCCGCAGTCGGTTCTGCGGATGCGGCTGCCAAGGGCCACGCGATCCGTTCCGGAATACGACGAGGCTGGACAACAGCGGAACTTGCGGATAGTCGGTCTCGGGAAATAATAACGCAGGGAAAGGAATTACAAGGGCGCTTCCGGCTTCCGACGAAAAGCAAACGAGTATCCTCAAAAAGAAGTCATCTTCTAAAAGAGGTTAAGGTAGTCGGACAGGACCGAAAGTCTTTACGAGCAGGTAGAAGGGTGCGTCAGTTTTTGATTCGCTTTTCTTGTCAGTTTAACTCATAGTTCTTTGGATAGATCCGGAGCCCATTAATAAACCTGATCGGAAATTCTCTCGATCCCTTTCGAAGCTTTCCTATCTCTCAAAACAAACAAGTTGATAAACTCTTCTACCATTGTATGTGTTGCGTCCCATGGTGATTGGCAATGTCATGTGTGATTGACCCTCGCTTCACAGTTTTGACAGAATTCAAATTGAATGAGTCAAATCCCAGCACGAAGTCAACATGGTTCCACTATGCAATGCAAAATGTTACAGTTATGCACAGCACAATAGCCTTGTCTGCCGCACTTCTGATGGCTACAACCCCACGGGTCGGTCACTGCGATCCAGCATTGCAACAAGAAGGGCTGTACCAGAAAGGTCAAGCAATGCGACAAATAAGAGAGTGGTGCTTGCAATCAAATGTATCCTACTATGATTCGAATCGTGCTTCCATAATGATATCCATATCCACTATGTCAACCGTCGAGGTCAGTTCATGTTATTGAAAGCGAGACATCCAATCTATAGACTGACGAGTGAATAGATTCTTTATGGAAATTTCGAAGCAGCGAAAGCTCATTTGTTTGGAATTCATCAACTGTATGAAGTGCTGAACTACAAACAAGAATTTTCCGATGAATACGTTCTACGCAAGTCAGCTGGTTTGTGAGTTTGGAGCCCCCATCTCATCATTTTTCTTTTCCTAACGCAAATGCCTGATATCTATAGTGCGGATCTGTTTCTAGCATCTGCCCTTGGAAGTCTTCCCAAGTTTCCTTTATTCCACTCATACGATATCTCCCTTCCTAAAGAAATACACAATGAGGCAATACGGCCACAGCCGCATCCCATCGTCGCCACGCAGTGTGGTAGATCTGTAGCCCAGGCATTCAACTACCTCAGGCTTGCGATATGTGCTATTCGGTCTGGGTCAATACCATCGGAAACTATACGTATGTTGATCAATGCCGCGGATGTGAAACTTCTGGAAATATTCTACGGCGAAGTCGCAGATCCACCCCCGGCCGTGCCCTCCAGCATTGTTAATCTGGTTTCGCGTGCTGCCCATCTATTTCTTTACATTTCTATCAGGCATTTTCCTATCAGGGCCAGTATAGTTCGCACGATGAGCGACAGATTATGCGATGCTATGGAAGTGGCTATCGAGGAACCCGAGATATGGACAGACTGCCCCGAGGTGATGGCATGGGCAGCATGTGTTGGCCTTGTTAGCACCTGGGAGGAGGCTCCGGGGATAAGCCCTGCCCGGGGAAATTTTCTGAGAGTACTTGATAGACTCGGACTAAGGTACTCGAGAGATTCGCTATGGGTGTCTGACGATAGTCTATCTTCGTTTCTATGGGACGCAGAACGCTGTAGCCCGCATTTTCAAGGCAGCTTCAGGAATGATTTCACAGAGGGACAAGTGAGTACAAGGAAGGTCATAGCATGAGAAAGATCAACTCAAAATTTTCTGCTCTTAAAAATCTTTGGTCTTTCCAAGTCAAATATTAGATCAAAGGAGAAGTACTGAGAAAACCAGATATGTTCAAACTAGAGTATAGTAATGATCTCTGGTTGTAACTCACACTCCGTTCCGGCATGACGCTGGATAAATCCAAGTTCTGCTACCCATCTACCCGCTCGTAGAAAATTCCCGTTATCAACCTTCCTTAACAATAGACCGTACGTGCCAGAAGTATGTTTCCACACAGGACTACATTCCACCTCTCCAATGCAAAGAAAAAAGAAATTCTTGTCTAGACAAGGATAGTAGTCAGGATGCTGTTCTGGCTGCGGCGAGCTAAGCGAACAATAGTAATCATCTGGTTCCAGCGATATCTTTTCATCTAGTAGAGTAGACACTTCCAAGAAAGTTGTGAAATGCTTAGTTGACCCTTTGCCAACCAGGGCTTGGGAAGAGATGAACGGTCCCTGCAAAGTGAGAGCGGCAGATTTGACTTGACCAAACGGATCAGTCGTGTCTACTAGTTGTACTGAGATATCAATAACATGAGCCAGGATGTTTGGTTCACGATCGTGGAAGTTGATGAAGACACGATTATCCAAGCTCGCCCAGCTCCAGGACGGAGCACGGTAGCTGTCTGGCCGTATAGTGGAGGTGTATAGTTGTGAATGCCAGAGCAGTCCCCAAGGCATAATGTCGCGGAAAATTCCCGCGCAGTAGTCTCCGCCAAACCAAGCGGCACATAGGCGAGCAATGGCAGCAAAGGCAACGAGTTTGTCTTCTTTGGGGTGAGAGAGCTCTCGTTCTGTATAGATCATCAAATACTCAAAGTAGGATATTAGAGTGTTGGAGCCACGTCTCTCAATATTGAAACTAGACTGGTAGAGGCAGTCAAAACCATGCCCTGTGCCATTGGCCACACTGTCAGGCATGCATTCGGAGAGGGTAGTTCTTTTAGCACACTGCCACCAAATACGGTCACTGCCAAAACGTAGAATTCTTGGTGATAGGAGGGCTTCTTGAAACACCCATGCGCGTCGACTGAGAGGAAGACTCATACGTGACCAAGAGAAGTCCTCCGCGGTGAATATCGCGCAGAGATTTATGTGAGCCGTTTCTGAGGGAGACAATCGTTCACGATTCTGTGGATCAAACAAGGCCTTGTTTTCTGATTCGGCGTCTGGCTCCCTTTCCAGGCTCTCTTGAGGAAAATCTGAATAGCCATGGAATGGCGTCCATATGAAGCAGTCTTGTAGAATGCGTGGGTTCCTCTGACGAAAGGCACCCTCATACGGATTCGCCGAGACATCGATCGCAATGTTGAGTTCGCAGTTTAGATAGACCTTATGCATCTCATTGGCATGGAAAAGCCAGTCTGACTGAGAGGTGGACCCAGCTTGGAGGATACAGAGAGAGTCGATCCACACATACGGGATCTGAAGACGTTGACAGGTTAGGATGGCGTCCCGGAAACTTGCGGCCAGCCGTTCGAGAGGAAGTTCCTTACGGAGATCTTCCAAATTGCCCGCATTCAACATGAAGAACTCGGGATTTTCACCCCAGCAGTGGCTCAAGGTTGCATAGGGACCATGTAGGTCATCTTCGTCCCGTAGGACTAGACGTGGTGACTGACCATCTTGCCCGACATGAACGAGGCGCTTGGGGTACCATCCAGCTTGCCTGTGCTGATAAAAGTCCCCGCATGCATGACTAGCTTTGCACTCTTCATGCCACTCTTTGGCCAGTTGTGCTACTGCTTCGTGCCCCGTATGATCCGGAATATCTCGCCTCATTGTCCCGTCCCGCCTTACTAGAAATGGGGTCGTTTCTAGATCAGCAGTGGCCAGATTGATGAAATCAGAATAGTGAGAAGGGAAACTCTGTGCACGAGAAACATGGATATAAATTCTCTTGAAGTAGTGTTTATCATCCGTGGCGTCTGCCCTCTTCTGGAAAATGCAGAGTTCCACATGTGGTCTCCAACCCTCTCCCTTGCTAAATTTGTATTGCAAGGGCCAGGAATAGTTGACTACTACTCCTCGCTGCTCAGGATGGTGACGAGCGAGTATACTACAAATTTTGCAGCCATTCTCTGAAGCGAGAACGAGGTTCTGCCTGGTTTTGTGATGGTACCCCTCATCTCGAGGATCCTGAAAGATCGAGACGCACAAAGAACAAAGCATCGGAGATATAATAGCAGCCGTACTGTGATAGGGGAATGCCGTTAATAGTAATGGGATAGACCTGAAAATGCGTCGACCAAACCAGACAAGGCTCAAGCACAGGATATGACTAGCTTTCTCGTGCTTACAATTCGACAGGCAGATTTCGTGAGGCAACTTTGCACGTGACTCAGACTTGGCAGTGCAACGTTTGTGGGTTTGCTGACTTCATGTTTGAGGGCTGCACGATGCGGCGCTACGGCCTGATTGCCTGTGCTGGGATTTAGACCTGTAAGATGTCTCGTAAATCACATCAAAGCATGCAGAAGAGTGAAAAAGGTGGCTTTGTTTCCGCACACTTTCATCGCGAGGGTACATTCAGTTGTGTAAAATTCAAGCAAGAGTATAAAACGCTGTATTGAGTGTATTTGTTTTCCCTCAGGGTGTTCCTCATCTTGAAGATCGGTACTGCCCCCAGTTGCGTAAAATAGCAATAGCTAGAGAATAATAACAAATATCTACTCCCAAAGTAGTGATATAAGATATTGCACACTAAATTGTACTTTGATCTCCTATTTCACCAAACCCTTCACCTAAATAGCCTAATAACCCAGTAATAAAAATATAATATACCCTCATCAAAGATAATAGTTTAATATTTATGCCTCTAAGAGTTATTTTATAATTATTTTTACTATCTTAATAGGATTCAGCTGTTAGACTGAGGATTGAAAACGCCTATGATTTACGTGTGCAATGTCTTGTGTCACCCGGTTGCTCCCATGTAGAGACTCTCCACTTCGTGCTTTTGAAATGTCATCGAGCCGCTACCAACACCATAACATCATTGACATGTATACAAGATGACGGCCTTAAGCCCTACCGCCGATACTGTTATAATCTAAACCAACAGGCATGTTGTGAGGAGGCATTGTCTTCATGCCATTAAAAGCCAATTTCAGCCGAGGCAGGTTTTCATCGAGCCCAACATCCAAGTATTGCGTAAAGTCCCCTCGATCGTTTCCTCCCCAGAATTTTGTCATTTGAAATCGATCACCTTTTTTAGTCTGATTTCTTTCAATCTTCCAGCACCGAATATAGGTTCCGACAAGTGTGCAGGCGTAAATGAAATCAACGTCAGGGTACACCTCAAGATACTCTTGACAGTAGCCGAAGGCTTGGTCTTCAAGAGCCATGATTTGAGACCCCGGTTGATTATTGGCCTTTTAGCCTCCACAAAGCACAGAATTTGTTGAGCATATTCATCGGTCGTGTACTCAATGGCGAAGTCGCATGCTTTTCTACGCTGTTCATCGGGTGCCAGTTGCGGGATGATTTGGTAGTCATCATCTGCTCGAAAGACAACATTGCTGAAAACAGAGACGAATAGCCGGACGGTTTGCTGCTCTTTGGGATCAAGGATCTGGCCCTGAACAATTTGGATTTGGGCCATCAGGTATGCAAACTCCATAGCGGGCTTAACGATAAGTCCATGTCGATTCCATGTGGACAGATCCATTGTTTGGAGTTTCGGCAAGGACTTGAGTTGGAGCGATGAAGGCATCGACGTGCGAAGTTCTGACAAGGAGTCGATTGATTCGACTGACGGCAAAGGCAGCGATGTGTACCACTTGACCTGTCACATACCGTTGGGTACACATGCAGCGGCACGTGACATTTGTTTATGTTTTCAGTGAGGGACCTCACTCTCGTGTCTCTTGTGTCATCTGGTAATTATGAATTTACCTGCATTCATATTCGTTCGTTAAAAATCGCACCGTTTCCATATCGCCGCGCAATGGCCTCTCTGCAAAATGAGCTCATCTATGCCCCCAGAGGATATTGTCCTGGAACACTACTGCATTTTGTGTCGTTCATGGTTCCAGTCGGCTACTAAAACTTTACCTGAGTCTTTTGTATGCCCTCCTTAGATGATGCAACCCGCCTCCAAGGCTTCATGTTGCGATTGAAGACACCGTTAGATTTTGATCCCCACCCTAATGTGCCAGCGGCGATAAAAAAGTGTTTGGATGCTTCAAACAAAAAGCTATGTCTTGCTCCTCAGCAGGAGCGGCATCTCGGATCCAACGCTCATCTTGTGCATATTTCTTGCTTGCAGCTTGCTCATTCCAGGCTACCTCGGCTCTGTATCAGAACATTGTGTCGAATCGGCGAGATACTACGACCTGTTGTCAATTGGAGTAACTCAGTCTACCTTTTCGGCCCACAGCCAATGCCATCATTCCTCTCTGGGTTCCCTTTGCACTCAACGGAGTTGGGAGCTTTGGTCCAGCAGATACAGCAGCGACTACCGACCGAGATACAACTAATGGTGTGTAAACTCCTACTCACAGGCCTCTTTTCATCGCTTGCAACTTGTTCCGAGACTGTGACATGGCTCCTTGAGCAACAATTTGCAAACCACACAGCAGGGAGATCCTTGGCTACTAAAAGCTCCCTTCCTGCTGTTCATGACGTTGGAGGATTAGCGGCCAGTGTGCACGACGTCCTGGGCGAAAGCTACTTGGCCGGGCTCCAGGCCACCCCGTTGCAAGGTGGTCATAACCACCAAGTTCAGCTCTCCAGCCACGATATTCTTGGACTGAAAGTCTTGCTAGGAAGGCGCGGCGTTGTTGGAACAAGAGTTCACTACCAGGATGGCTCGGTGTCTCCCTGGCTTGGACAGAGCGTGTCGAAATGGGCATATTTTATCCGTGGAAATGATCTGCGACGGCTTTAAGTTCAGTCCGATGTACGCTGGTCTATCCGTCTCCTCCCTTCTCGTAATTTGTGAGGATCACTGATAAAGACTACAAGGAGGTCAAAACACTTTCCCTGGCTTTTCAGGTAGACACCAAGCCCGAGTACCAGAGGCACCATTTTCTGGAATCCGGACATCAACTTTCATCCCCAATCCCGATGCTCAATCATCAACCATGGCGTTTCTACAGTCATTGATCTCCCAGGCCATCCGAGTGCTCGTTTTGCCCAGTATTTGCCTCTGAATCTGAATGACGGCGTCTAACACAGTTTAACGATATTTTGCAGCTCTCGCTCGGTTACCTGCATTCAAATTGACGGCTCCCAGCATTCGAAGATTGGAATGCCCTCAAGTTTATGCTGCCCCATTACCTTTTATCTCCACCCTTTTGAGTCTGTTCAGTCACTGCATGTTATTACTCTCCGTTTAAGTTCATTACTGCGGGGGCAGGGTCCGTATTTACTGGTAATAACCTTCCCCCCCTTTCAAACGAAGCCTTAAAAACACTTCAACTTACGATTTTTCCCTTCCTAGGTTAGAACAACAACAGGTCGTTGTCTGTACTACGGGCCCTATGTTCTGCCTACGCTTTCTTTCCGAGCTCACTTCTCAATGTTGGGATATGAAACGTCCCATCACGTTTCCGGCATTTTCTTCGAAGCCATAACCTTTTATGATCAGGTTGAGACCATAGGCGTCACACTGGAGCCCAACCCCCAAGAAACCAAGAATGCCTCAACAATTATCTCCGTTCCGGCGCTTAAAGCACTCAAACCCAAAAACTTTTTTTCTGAGAACATTGGCCGTGCCTTTGTGAGCAAAGCTGCTTTCGCCGGGGCTAAAACCATACGAGCACAGCAGCATGGATCCCGATATACTGGTCTATTAGCTACCTTTGAAGATGAAACGAAGCTGGCTCTGGGGCAGTGGGACCCTAGCCAGTTGGATACAATATCCCTCATCTACACTAGAGAACAGGGGCCACTCAGTACAATTGTTTTCATCCTCTCTGAGGTTGTAGAAAAGGATCGTCTTGCATTCAAAAAGTATGTGGAGGATATTGTTCTATGCGATACTGAAACAAAGAGGACCTGTTTCAAATGGACAGATCTTACGGTAGTAAGTTTTCTTTCCTTTCTAGGGCATATGTGTGAGAATATCTTTCTAAATGTGATTTCCTCACTCTAGGAAATTGCTTGGTTTTTTACCCAGAAATTTGATACATTTGCATACTGGGACGGTAATACCCAGATAGGGAGTATAACGGACAGCTATATCCCATACAACACAGTAGACTTATTCTGAGGTGTGGTTGTTCAGAGTTCTCTTGGTAGCGGATGTTTGTTTCGTATTTCTATTACCCACGGTAGCTTGAGCCTCGAGTCAGGACTCTACACGACAGCAAACATGTTTTGTTATCACAAATATTGCTCTAATGAGCATAAACTCTGATTGCGCTCTAGAAATATGCTACCTGGAGCAGCCAGGCTCGTCCTTTCGCTTACAAGCTAATTTCTTGGTTTCATCGTTATTAATGGCCACTCTTTGCAAAAGTCTTTTCATATAAATTGTGCCATCGTACGGTTAGTACCGTGATTGATCTGATATCTTGTTGGTGATATTCGCCAAAGCCGTAGTTGTGAGCTCACTTGTGGCCCAACTCGGAGCGACCCCTAAAGGCGCTCTAAGGAGGTAAGGGTAGTCATTCTATTGTTACAGGAGAAGCACTGAAGCTATAAAAAAGCTAATGAATTTATGTGTTTGAAACAGTGAGGCTATTTTTTCTGCAACGTCTTGCGTTTTGGAGACAGGTCGCATAGGTACAATGAACATAAAAAATAATTTTCGGCACAAAAATCTATGATTAATTAATGAAGAGACTCACGAGGACTATATATCAAGTTCACCATCGCGTTTCAGAACGTTTGATTAGTCTTAAAATTGAACATCAGAGTCCCAGTGGCAACGGTGGAAGTCAGCGAATGAGCCGGGTGACCTCTGAATGGCTGTGATCCAATTCAAGGAATTCGTCTTGGCTCAGAGGTTGGCTCCTTGGCATTGTGCAACGAGCATTAATACCGCAACGTCTATTGAGCCTTATACAGCAGGGGCCCATGCAGTCGTCAGCAGATATTGGGTCTCGTGCTGCGGGAGGGGCCTGCAGTCATCCTATAGTTCGTATACAGCTGGCACACTGGCACCAACAGTATTCTCCGTTGTGCTGTGCGTTATCAGGTGTGGGTTACATTGGATTTGTGAAGTTTGCATGTGAACTCCCTCAATGGGGAAATGATCATCGGTAAACCCGCCCACAACACCACGAAAATATGAATTTCAACATGTTGATGGTGATTCCTGGTTTTGCAAAAGCTACAAGCTATCTCAGAGGTAATAAAAGCGTCAACAGGATTCCTACCACAATTGGAAAGCTTCATTTGGGTTAGAGGCACCTGATGATGGATGGGCAATGAACAACAGCCTGGAGCGTTGTTCCAAACCGTTCTCGGATTTAAAATCGGGTCTCCTGCCAGGCCTTCGACGTACGTACCCAAGCAATGGTAGCCGAGCCCATTCGAGGCTTCTCGGTGACATTTCGAGCAGGGTATAGAGTACTTACAAACCTCAGAGACAATTGGGCACTATTATATCCTTGTCGAGATTCTCGGATCCTCATCGCTGGACCACTGCCGGGATCGGCAGTGTTAATAACTTCAGTCAACAGATTAACTTTCCGATACTGATATTATCTAAATACAAACAACTCCGGTGTCACCGTCCAATAAAGAAAATACGGTGATCTTGGAGTGTTGGGGGCCAATATTTCACTATGATGGATCAAAGACAACGGAACCAGACGGATGAGTGATTGGGCCCGTTAAAGGTAAGAAAGACTATCCACAGTTTAAATAATTTTCCATTTCATGTATTTCACTCTCATCGCTCGCCTTTTCATTTGAAACACGCTTGTAGGGTCAAGTCGATGTTGGTTCAGCGCTTCTGGTTTCTAGGGTCCAATGACTAGAGAGTCATTGCCACCTCGCAAAAACACAGCCGCGCCATGAGTCGTGCTGACATGTGTCCTTGATTATTGCCTGTCCTTGCAGTAGAAGCGAGCGGGATGAGTAAGAAAGAATGAGGGGTGGGGGCTGGATGTACGTATTTGGATCCGAGCAGGCATTCATCCGCAAAGAGGTTTTTTAAGAATAAAATCGATACCCAATCTCTTCGTGGCCCTGCGGGGGAATCATACCTTGTCACCAGTGAATCTGGGCCCAAATCATGAAAAATGGTTGTCCTCACGCCGGAGGAGCTGGCGGCCAAAATGGACTCGCTTTCGAGGATAAAAAAGCTGTCATTCAGGGTACGTCGTATTGAATGATTCATATCTCGTACCAGCTCTATAAGAAACTAATATTTTTTTGGAGCAGGTGTCAGTGGGGGTTCTGGTTGGCATCTCTGTGTGCTCAGCTCTCGCAAGAGCAGCAATCCGTCTCAGGATGCGGCAGGGCTTATGGCTTGACGACTACCTGCTTTTCTTCGCCGCCTTACTCCTGATTGCGACTGCTGGATTCATGTACTACATATGCGATGAAATCTACCTGGCCACGGTTGTTCGAGCGGACTCGACGCTCATATTCCAGCTACCAGCCGACGAATTAACCCATATGATCGATCACGCCGTTCAAGAAAATGCCGCGACACTCATTCTTGCCTGGACGGCGACCTTCTTCGTCAAATTTTCCTTTCTTGCCTTCTTCAAAATGCTCATTCGCCAAGTTGCGGGGATTAAGAAGTACTACTGGGGTATCGTAATTTTCACGATATTCACATGGCTCTTCCTCATTTGTGAGCCCTTCATATTGTGCCCGCACTTTGGTATCAAATCTTGTAAGGAAATGCCACCGAATATTTGGACTACATGTTGCTAAAACTTCTTCAGTGACGTGCTTCGATCAATCGCAAAACCTGCTCTACGTTTCCATGACAGGACTAATCACAGGACTAGATGTCCTTACAGATGTTTTAAGTACGCACGAGACCTCCATTGTTCAACGAACCAGAGTATTAACCATTTGTGATTTAGTTGTGACCATACCCATTTTCATTCTTCGCCGAGTGAAGATGAGGTTAATGCAAAAAATCGCTCTCGGGACATTTCTTTGCCTTTCTTTGATGATGGCTATCATGGCAATCATTCGTGTGAGCGGCATCACCGGCGTCGCAGGTGTCGATATACCTTGGACCTTTTTCTGGCAGTTTACGGAGGCGAGTGTCGCGGTTCTCATGGGCTCACTGACCGCTTTTCGAACTCTACTCGTGGGGCATGTTGGTAGAAACAGTGAGCCTAAACGTTCTTGGCCATATTCTCGTTACCGAATATATAAATGGGGAGGGAGGAAGGTTAGTGCCGACGAGGAGACTCAAGAAGGCCTTCCTGAGGTGCCAGGTGCAACTATGACTGGACTTCGTACCTTCATTCGGCGCAACAATAGAGACCCCGGTCTTGCCACAGCGAATATGACGACGCATACCATGTTCAGATACCCGTCAACTGAGTACAACGATCAGTATATGCCAAGCGAGGTGGCAACAAGGGCTTCGACAGAAGGAAGGCATGCTCAGCCCACCCAATCCTATCAGCTTCAAGACGTAACAGACCCAAGGTCCCAGCAGCCCGTCAAGGTAAGACAACTCAAAACCGTGGAAAATTTATGAGCTGATTGTTAATTCCATCATTCAGCATCCGATACCTACATCCTCCCAGGAATATACTGGATTTAGGGAGGACCAAACACAGGTTTGGTCGTCCCCGCCGACATCATTTGGAGAATCGACTACTGTTAGGAGATGAGATAATGAACAATTTTGCGAGTTAGAAAGCGGAATGATTTATGAAATGGATAGGGCTCAACACCAGCCTTATCAGGGATCATTTAATAATTTTTCTTCGTTGCTGGCGTTGCTCTGAGTTGACATGAAATATACCCCTACTTCTAATTTAAAAGACGAATCTTGGATTGCATGGTACTCAAAACTGGGAATTAGAATGTGCTATACTGACGCAAATTCATGGCATCGCAACATTTCAACACTGGGCGGTTATGTGATCCGGTCCCGTGAAAACAACCCATTGGAATAGCAACAATGAGGTTGTGTGGGTGGGCAACTAGAGATCTAACCGACGGTCTAGAATACTTGCGCCACTGAAGACAGTGGGGAGTAAAGTTCAATGTTAGGAAGGACAAATTTGGTGCGGCAAACTCTGTACTTTGGCTTGCTTATGAAGGAAGGGACCGGAATGTGGCGTGGTGGAACTATATCAACTAGGTAACCTACAAATGAAACCAGTAGCTTAGGAGACCCGAGGGAATGGATCAATGAAGAGTAGATCAAACAATGTCGCTAGTGTTTTGTGCAAGTCGGATTAAAAGGTCGCTGCAAAAGAGTTGTTTTCACATAGGTAGGCGGGTATGGTGTGTGCCTATCCCAATAAATCAAAGTATCTACCATTCAACAGTTCTGCAAAAGAACAACACATGGCAACTGCCGAGCTGATAGATTTCCTCCACGGCATGTAATGGCAATGTGGTATTGTGCAGATAAAGCAAGTTGCTAAGCCATGTAAGTCCAGCCGAGAACCATGACGGCCCACTATTCAAATACCGTCAGAGGATTCCAGTGTGCAGATTACCTCAAGAACCTAGATATACAAATGATTCTGTGCGGCTAAAGAGGCATGAAGTACAAAGTGGACAGTGAGTATATGCCCTTGCATGAAGTGGCGTTACAAATCCATAGTTTGGAATGAACCGAGCCGTTGGCATGGGAGAAGGTATGGACGGGCCAACTTGCCCCGCCGACCAAGCATGGCCTTATGACGACGAGCCCTTTGAAATTAAAGAAGAGCTCACACTCCTCTGTCAGAGGCACTACGTCACCGAGAGGGGCAGATCAACTACTTGATGCAGACATCATGGGGGCGATAAGACGGTTCCCAGCAATTGGCGAGGCCGGGCCACCCAGCTACTGCCTTGATCGAAGCATGATAACACAATATATAATCAATCTCCGCCTTGTTACTTCAAGCCTGGGATCACGCAGATGCGAATTGACAAAGACATGAAGATAGATCAAGCCTTTGGCAAGCCCACCATCGTGGTCGAGTCAGCCATGAGCATCATTTACATTCACTTCAACAAACAAGTGAGGAGATATGTTAAACTTTAGCTTAGCAAGCTTTTCATGCAAAGCTTCAACTTGAACTTTCAGCTCCGTTTTCCGGTTCCCTTGGCTTTTGGTATCCTAGCGTTAACCCGCCTAATAACACAACGTGGGCTTTTTGGAAACTGTCAAGTCTAGAACAGAACGGATCCTCATACCTCAGAGTAGATAGAACTAAAAGGCTGCATCTTTTTCATAATCATGACATACCCTGGAATGGTATGGATAAGCTCGAATACACCTAAAGTTTGATGGATGGCCACGTTGGCTAGCAGGGTTCAGGCAGGAGTCTTCAAGACATGATGGCTTGCAAAATAGGTCACATAAAACGGGAAGTTAAATGGAACGCAAGCGCAACTCAAAACGCGGATCGCACTTTAGCCACCATTGTAATATTGAAGTCATGGTTTGAAGAGAAGTAAACAGACAGTGATGCTAGGAACTTTCGCCCAGCGGTCGTGTCCCTTAGTTCAAGCCGAAGCCTGTAGAGTATATGAAATGTGAAATTATGAGTATTTGTGGTCTCATGAACAAATGGATATGCTTTTTTAAAGTTAAAGACAAGTGACTTCCATAGTTGTGAGCGCTGACGGAGTGCAGAAAGTGGTAAATATGGTAAGAGACTTAAACTCAGGTCCTCGCATATTCTATAGAGGGACCTGGACCTACGTGTAGATCAACCCTTAACTAGCCGAATAAGTGAAGGGTAAATCCTTAGAAATGCTGTTCCTAGCAGACCCCGGACTATTGGAAACATGAAAATATGCGGAAGCCGTCAATCGCCAAAACTTGGATGAAAGGAGGATCGAAGGAATGCAAATCCAAGCCTGCGCCGAGTTTTCTCCAATGAAACATGTAAGAAGGATATCAAGTATAAGAGTGGTTGATTTCCTTGGGTTATGAACGAAGAGCCAGGGCAAGAAATACCATCACCCATCTTGACGCACTAGAACGAAGCTGCTAACTCTCTCTCCCACTTCTCGTCAACGAACTGTTCCGACAAGTACACGAGTCTCCCCAAAACAAAGGCCTTCTCCAAATGCTAATGTCACGTAGGAATTAAAACCGAAACAATGACTTCTACTATGACTGAGACTGCGTCTGCCAGCGCGACTCACGGCATGGGTATCGACATCGAATCGACTAGGAAGACCAATGAAGGCCACACTATGATTGGCACAGTTTACTTCCAGAACAAGAAGATTTGGGGGCCCAAGTCATGCCACGACAACTCGGTCGACATTCAAAGGGCCTTCAAGAAGGCAGATCCCCGCTTCGAGATGGCTCTTGAGAGAAAGTCTCACTCGATCGAGGGACACACACGTGCGCTCACCATTAAGTCTAACGGCACTACCATTCTGGGCGGTCACTCCGTCCACGACAACATGGACGACATGGTTGCCACTATGAAGGGCATCCTACTCGTCAGCCCTACCCCCTAAGCGGTATCAGATTGTGTAACTACCATTGAATGGCACCTAGGATAGGTATAGCAAAATTCAAGTGGGATTATCGTGATGCTATTCAACATTACATCCCGATAGACATATTTCGCATTAAAACATATTAATCAGTGAAACTGCCTTGATGATGAGATGCCGTGAATGTTTACAACTGCCTACTACTTATCATCCTCGAGCTCAATGAAATATATCGTCGTCGTAAGCCTGAGCCTTTACCAACACTACTTCCATGTTTCGACTCATCGCTTTCACAAGCTAGCAATCTCCCTTATACAACCACCGAGGTAAGAGGTCACTATTCGGACACAGAGGTGCTACTTATCGAATTAGTATGCCATAACGTCCTCGCTTAGCCAATATACCTGTCGTCGTCAGACCTCAACCAGGTCTCATCTCGGGGAGGTCATAACGGACCAGGTACAATTAGATATATGTGGTCACCAAATTGACGTCCCCATTATTAGATAACTAGATTTGAATAAAAGAAACTGCTGTGTCTTAGTGGGGCAGTCCAAAGCTATCGCGATGATCCACGCTTCGTGAAAACAAAATTACCCATTTGGGAAGTAAGTGTGCAGATGAAATTGGCGCTTGATTCCCAGCTTCATATGTGAAAATTTGACGTCAGACTAATCATGGCGTTTGCCATGGAAGGTAGTAACTTACTTCCTAATTGCGTAACTTTTCAATTGTGCCTTTCTTCCGACCTCGTCCTTAGATTTCCTTGGCGTTTACTACAAAAGGATCCTACGATCCAAAGAATCGGGAAACCAACGTCGAGCTTTGGGCAATTCATTCCTCCTATTGTACGCCTCCCGTATCTTTTATATTTCAACCACGATGGCAAAGCCACTAGTCTTGCTAACCGGTGGTACCGGTTTCGTTGGTCACGCAGTACTCGTAGACCTGCTGAAGAGCGGATATCGAGTTCGCCTCGCCGCAAGGTCCGCTAGTAAGATCAACCAGACCCTCGCCATACCATCTATTGCGGCAGCCGTGGCTGAAGACAAGGAGGTTGTCTCATCTGTCGTTGTGCCGGATATGTCCTCACCCGGTGCCTACGACGTTGCGGTTAAGGATGTCACATATATTATTCACGTTGCGTCCCCTCTCCCATCTTTTGAGGAGGGGAAAGTGCTATCAGCTGCTGAAGAAGAGCAGCGCAACAGTCACTTCGTTGCTCAGTCAAGGCAGGCAGCTGTTAATATCCTCCAATCTGCGAACAAAGCAGGCAATGACAGCATCCGACGAATCGTCATGACAAGCTCCACAGTCGCCATTGTTCCTTTCGATGTATTTCTCAACAAGGCTGAGGTTTTGGAACCAACATATGACTCAGATAGCCGAGTCCCCGTGCCTAGCCCACCTTATTCAAACGAGAACCAGGCGTATTGTGCCGGGAAGGTGGCTGCATTGAATGATGCGGAAGAGTTCATGAGAGTACAGCGGCCCAAATTTGACTTGATCTCTATCAATCCTTCTTGGATCTTCGGTTTCGATGAACGCGCCGTCCGATTCGAGCAACTCCGTGATGGCGTGTCCAACACTATGCTGGCCGATTATCTTATGGGGGCGAAGAGAGAGTACGGTCTTGCCGGGACTGGCGTGCTCTGCAGTGACGTCGCCAGAGCTCATGTGAAAGCTCTGGATCCTGCTGTCAAAGGCAACCAGTCATTCATCGTTAGTAGTCCAATGCAGTGGGAAGATGCAATCTCTGTTGCGAAAGAGCGCTATCCACAGGCTTTTGTCTCAGGGCTGTTTCGAGCTGACGGGGAACAACTTACGATTCCATTGAAACTTGATACGACAAAGGTACGTGCTCTCCTTTTATAGCTCTCAGTCATGGCAGTCGAACTAATAGGAATTCTCCTAGACACAAAATATCCTCGGAATCAACCTGGCAAACTTTGAAAAGATGGTTGATGAAGTAGCAGGCCAATACGTCAAATTGTCGCAAGCAAAGGGTCAGTAATGCAGTATGGATCGTTGGAGGATCTAAGATCAAGTATGCATTCAATCGAATCCGTCTGTAAATCCCATAGAATCCCCAATGCGTCTTCTTCTTTCCCGTGATAAAAACATTCCCCTCGCATTCAATCAGCGCGTTTGGCGGTACACTTGGCGCCAGGCTTGAGTATTCCATTTCTTCGCCTCCAACAGTGTGTTTCTTGAAAGGCCAATTCTAACGGCTGGTATCTCAAGGTAGGTATGCACTGGTCGATTACGTCGTTACCACTATTTGGTCATTATTCTTCATTTTACTCGCTGACCTAGCATCATGATTCTGTTATTCTGTCTTGAATATTTGACGCAAGAAACATAGCCCTCGGGCGATGAAATCGATGTGTTGCAATGAGAAGATAATTAATTGTTTCATTCGATATACGTATACCTAAGATTAGTAAAAGTTAGATAGCATGGCACAGGGCGACTGACATTCGCATGTGCTGACACATGAAGACAAATCAACCCCGCACGGAATTCACGGTGAGCAGCTGCATCCAACATCTCACGATTCAAAGAACACCAACGTACATTCATCTCCGTGTTGCTATCTTGCAAGAGTCCCTACCCGCTAGCATGGATCTGACCTTGGAAGAGCTCCGCCAGTCGAGCAAGATGGCTCCAGAGATGGTAGAGTTCCTGGCTCGTCAGCCCATGCCCGAGCTCCCCGGCCACGACCCCATCGCTCATCGGAACGCTCGGGCGGATCATCTGAAGAGGCTGAGGCATCTTATGCCTGTCCCTGGTCCAATCCCGGATCTTGTGGTGGAGGAAGTGATATCCGTCGAGGCGGAAGACGGATTCCCCATTCCCGTTTATGTGTATCGCCCGGCACGATCTACAGACACACATCCTGTAGCCGTATTATTCCATGAGGGAGGGTGGTCGTCAGGAGATGCCACTGATGAAGAGTTCAATGCTCGACGTCTCACCAGAGATCTTGGCTTCGTGTGTCTAAATGTGGAATACAGGTATGTGGCCTTATTGGCAGGGACCTCTCGTTCATATTATGTACTGATGGGCTCTTAGGCTGGCGCCAGAGCATAAATTCCCAACGGCAATTTCAGATAGCTGGAGTGTCATAAACTGGATAACTCGTAATGGCTCTTCGGTAGGTGCAGACCTCCAGAAAGGATTCATCGTCGGCGGATCGTCTGCCGGAGGGCACATCGCGGCTATCATGGCGCTGCGGTCGCAAAAGGAGAGCCTGTCGCCTCCCATCACGGGCCAGTGGCTGTCTGCAGCTTATTTGGTGCCATCCAACCAAGTCCCGGAAAAGTACCAGCCAGAGTACATCTCGCCGTCCGAGAACACCAATGATCCCGTTCTTACCGGGCTCAGTGAGCAAGCAGAACTTGGTCTTGTGACCGGATTGTTCGGGGCCGATATACACTCGCCGCTATTCTCTCCTATGGCGGCCGATTACTATCCCCCGTCCGCCAAGGCAGGAGGCACAGGACCTCTTGCAAAGACATTCATACAGGTTGGGGGCATGGATCCCTTGAGAGACCATAATCTGATATACGATAAAATCCTCCGAAAAGAGCATGGTGTTGAGACACGAGTCGAGCTGTACCCTGGTTATGGGCACATGTTCTGGACGAACTGGCCTGAGATGAATGCTAGTAAAAAGTTTTCAGATGACATGATTGCCGGATTTCAGTGGCTGCTCTCGTAGACAGCTAGAAACGGGAAGAGTACATCATAGCCAACATAGAAAAGAGATGCTGGGGATAAAACTCGACGGTGTCGTACAGGGACAACAAGCTAACGGAGCCATTGCTATTGCCATCTCACTTCAGCCAAGTCAAATATTTGTTCAAAATAAGATAGTAACAAATAACTATTCTTTGGGAACCGCTTGAGATTCGATGCATATTCTATACCAAGTTTGTGTTCTGCGGCGTTTGCTTGACGACTTTTCTCTGGCTACCGGAACCTTTTGGCAGTGTACCTCATAATTTTCCCAGGCTATTCTTCCCAGGCAACCAGCTAATAGATTAGGCCTCCCCGGTGCTGCAACTGCTTATCTCATCGCCCCTGTGCCATATCTCAAATTAGAATGAAGCCCAATTACTCATTGCTGACAGACACACAAAGTCCACAACTGTTCATTCTGCTCCCCAAATTCTTTGAATATTCGCGCAGAACGCTGAAGTGAACATAAACTCTGTACATTTGAGGGAGCTCGCCAAGCCGCACAAACCGTCATGACGCACGTGGAAGTCTGTTGCCGAATTTGCGGTGTTAGCTTCAACCTTGGCCGCTACCCAACAAAGGATGAAGCCACGGCAGATATTCCTGATACGCAGTGGTTGCGGAATACTCAAGCGTTGCGTGCTCAGGCAAAAGGGACATGCGGAGAAGGCTTCTACCTAGCTAATCTCATAGAGATGCCCTCGGATTCAGACATCCGTCAACTCGTTGTTGAATCTACGGAGCCCATCTCGAAGGTGAAATCGCGGCGCTACACTTCAGACGAGCAACACATTTCTAGACCCGCATGCTCCAAACCCGGCGGTTATAGTGGCCACTCCATAACGTCAGAGGAAATTCGAGGATCTTGTACATTCCAATGCTTTGTTCCTAAGCTAAGACCACGGCGGTTGCTAATGCGGCCGATCAATGCTAGAGAGTCTGCGCCGGATCCAGACTTCTATATCAGTGGGATATCAGATATCATGCCAAGCCAAGGCTATGTATACAGCACGTGGCCCCTTGGTCGAGAACTTCCTGGCCTCCTTTACGCCAGAAATTGGTTCAGTAACTCAGAAGATGCAGAAAAGGCTGCGATGCCCTTTCATCCCACCTGCTTTGAAGTTTTCAGACGGGTGTCCGCGTACCATCGAGCCGACATCGACAATCAGAGCCTCATGGATTGGTATCGGCTTGAGGCTAAAGACGAAAGGCACTACCACGAATTCCCACGGCACCCTTCAGTGAGAAAGGCCCAGCGATACTGGCAGAATGGGAGGGACCAACTCTGGCTTCATCTCTCAGGCAGTGAATTCCTGGCAGCCAACCCCTGCTTTGTGCCGGCCCTTCCATCCATCATCACCTCAGTAACCGTTAGTCAAACCCTCACTTCGAATTATTCTCAGATTAGCCCGGTCGCTTCCGGTGAATATCAAGGTAGCGATTCTCTAAGTCGCCTCCCTATGGAAATCCGCCTTCATCTTGCAAGTTTACTCAACGCTTCCGACTTTGCAAATCTACGACTAGTCTCCCGAACCTTCCACAATCTTCCCCAATCTTTCTACCGAAGTTTCCTTCATAGGGAATACCCGTGGCTGTGGGAAACATGGTGTGATTCTCCATACTCAATCTACGCCGGGTTTGAAAGTTGGGAACTCAGACTGAGAGACACGAATTGGGAAAACCGCAAAGCGAAGCTTGAGCGAGATATCCGCAGCTTACAAGATGCGATAATATCTGGCGTCGATTCTGAACAGAACCTGCCTAAATTAAACACTCTTAGAGATTGCATTGCTAAAGAGGAGGTCGAGTACAAAAAGTCACGAGAGCCAATTCCCCCACAAAGGCTCTCGCGCGGGCCAGACGAGGTGGACTGGTTTGGCTTGTATTGCACCTTATCCCACAGCTTTGACAATCTGAAGGGGTTGAGAAACAGGAAGCGCATTTGGAAAGACTGTGAAGAGATTGTTCTTCGGATCAAAAAGTACCGTGCAGAGGGCCTCATGAAACCAGCGATATCCAATGAGTCAGCCACCAGCTAAGACACTTCATTCATTCGACAGAACCCAACTCATTTCCACTCGGAATCACCATTTCCCGACATCAATGACCGACTAGTAGAATCATGCTTCTCGGACTTGCAGCTAGGAATTTATCGCATTCGCACTGTTCTCGAGGAGATTGGTGCCTCCGGGAACATTTTGCGTGTATCGCGAGTTGAACTTCATTATCTTTTTCACTTTTATATATGTGTCCTGATCAACCGTCAAAGGCTCGGCGCTAACGTACCAGAGCACATCTTCAGAGCACGGAGGTGTAGTCAAAGACCCAGAGTATCTATATAATGTTAGCAGGTAATCATTCTCTCATGCTGCAGACTCACTCAAACACATTGTTGGAGCTGAAGTGACCCTCGAGATCTGTGAACACCAAGGGGCCTGTGTGTGTTGCTTCTCCTGGTGTGGCAGCCTCAGCAGCATTCTCGAACACAGACGTAAGAAGAGAATTGGCAGGGCCTAAACCGATGACAAACGCAACGACAGCTATGGATTTGTCTGGAAATACAATTAGCTATGGCAGAAATGGGGAAATGGAATGGGACACTGACCTGCTGCCTGGAAGACGAAGTGGACCTCCATAGGGTGATATTCCAGGTCAATCCGGTGTTCACTTGGGGTATGAAAGTGGAATTGCGCCAGGCTATACGTGTTGTCTGCTGTTGTGAAAGTACCGTTCGCGGGCACTTCAAGGGTCGTGCCCAAGTTCTCGAGCTCGGCACCATCGGGGTAGCCCGTAATACTGAGGGTGAGACCACTATTTCCCGGAGCAACAGGAATAGATGAGTTGAGATTGATAGGTGACTGAAAGTGGCCCTCTGCGCAGAGTTTGTTCGCTGACTTGTCGAGAGAGTACCAGTTCAACGGACCATCAAGACCTGTGTATCCAAAGGTGCCAATGGGAACGTTCGGCTCCCGAGGGAATTCTGTAGTTCCATAGTTGCAAGCTGCCAAGGCATTATGTACTAGGGACAGACTCAATGCTAAAATACTACAGAGCTGGACCATCTTCAAATAAAGTATGTTTTGGATAAGAAGTAATACTTTCCCAAGTTCAAGATTTCAATGGGGCGATGTTCTTCTGAGGGCCGAGCTCTACCTTTATAGCAGACATATATCTCGACAATGGCAATATTTTCAGCTCCAGATGCTCAGGAGCGTTGTCGGTTTCGGTTTCGGTGCCGCGTCATCCCGCTTTGGAGAGCAGCGATGTCGCGGTATGATTTAGATATTAGCGCTGGTGACAATGCCGTAGTATATCGTCTGCTGGGAATGACGGCTACTACATACATCCTTGTATAGGAAAGACAGTGTGCTTATATTTCTCTTCATCCGCGAACAAGTCTCGGTCTCGGTTTCCATTCCAAAATATAATTCATGTTTTAGGAAACAGAGACGCCAAGTTATCAAGCACTGTTAAACTGAGCGGATATATCGGCAGCGGCTGCGAGTCAGCAGCTTTTGTCAAGGTTTGTGAGGTACACGTTCTTGGAAATCAATTAGTGAATCTATGCTATCCTTTCAGCATGTCTCCCAATAGCTAATAAGTAGTTCTGCATTGCCTTCCTCTAACAATATCCGGGGATCCAATCGTTCACCTGCACCAATTGTCGAAGTTTCCGAAACTTCCGAGACGGCACCGTTCATCCGCAAGTATAAATCCTATATTACGAAGTCCTAGGTTAACTAAGCTAAGTAGTAAAACTCATTAATACTATAAATTATCAAGCTAAACCTTTTTATTATATATGATACGATTTAGATCCTAGCTTTGTCTATTCTTTTCTCTTTTCAAACGAAACTAATGTATTTTAATAATCACTATCTGTATCCATTGGATCAGAACCCTGTCCGAGGAGCAGAGCTACGATAGAGCGTCGTCTATATCTCCTAGCACGTTGCAGTGGCGTACAGCCGAAGTTATCTCGCGCTTCGACATCGGCACCGTTTTTGATAAGTAGAGCAGCGATGGTCTTATAACCTCTCTCAGCAGCCCATGACAAAGCCGTCTGACCGAAGGCATGATCTCTTGCTTGAACATTAGCACCCATCTCAAGAAGCAGCTCAACTATGAGCTCGTCATTCGCTTTGACAGCCCATATCAGGGGCGTTTGTCCTTCATTATCAACTGCTTCGATGCTGGCGCCTTTTTTAACAAGAGCACCAATCGCACTCTTGTACCCATTTTTGACAGCCCATATCAGGGGTATTTGACCTTCAATATCAATTGCCTCGATATTGGCCCCTTTCCCAATGAGGATACTAATTGCAGTCTTATACCCATGGTTGAAAGCATGCATTAATGGCGTCTCGTCGTTATCATCTCTTTCCTCAATGCTGGCTCCTTTGTTAAGAAGCGAACTAATTATGCCCTCATGGCCATACTTAGCTGCTAGGAAGAGTGATGAATCCCCATGGCAATCCCTTACATGAAGGTCCGCACCTTTTTCGAGAAGAATCCCAACTGTGGCTTTATGTCCATTCTTGACAGCTGCTAGCAATGGAGTGCCATAATATCGTCCCCTTAAGCTCGAATCAGCGCCGCTCTCAAGGAGAAGGTTCACTACAGCGTCATGACCGTTCTGAGCAGCTTGAAAAAGTGAAGTGCGAGGTTTTGATCCGACCATTGCATCAACCCTCACGCCGGCTTCCAGGAGAAGTTTTACTGTAGCCACGTGCCCATTCTCGGCAGCACAGAACAGGGGCACCCGGCCGTCAGTGCACCTAATCTCGGGATCAGCGCGATTCTGGAGCAGGAGCCTGACAATACTATGGTGACCGAGAAAGGATGGCAGGTTGATAATAGTCCTTTGGTCGACTTGAGGTAGGTTATTCCGTATTCTGTTGCTCGGAGGCCGGTAATTGCGCCAGGTCAAATACCATTTAGGGAAGCTGCGTGAACCTGGGTTCATGATTCTCATTACGCAATCAAGAAAATCAGGATACGCCCCGTCTTGGGCTTCGCGAAAATGGTCGGCCCAATAAAAGGCTGAGTAGGAGAAGAATGCGCAAGTCTGAAGAGAAGCCAAGGTTCTTTTTTTGGTGTTATCCAGTGGGTTATAGTCAGAATTGAACAGGTCTAGGTAGTGTACACAGCATTTCGCAAGAATGTTGTGTGCATCTTGAAGAGTGATGGAGCCTTGAAAACGTGGTACTAACGACGCGGTTACAGGTGATCCTAAATCAACACGGGTAAGAAGAAACTCTCGCGCTGTTTGATGAAGAAAGTGGATTTTCTCTTCGTAGATAGAGATAAATAACCCGCAACGGGATCTCAGCCGCGCCTTGAAGTCCTCGTCTGTTTCTAGATCAAGGTCATCCAAAGACTGCGATGTACTTTCTATCTCCATGGCAATCTTCATCTCCGAGAGTGTCAGTGGTCGACAAGCAGCTAGAATGATACTAAGAGCTTTTTGGACATATCGGTGATTCTTGGACCGACTAAGAATCTGTTCGTATGCCTCGTTGACAGTGTTGGGAAGGTTCTCAATAGCCAAGTCGATTCCTTTTGGGGTCTTTTTGAAATCCTCAACCTCAAGGTGCTCAAATATGAGATAGACCCAGAGGTAGGTTCGGTGGGAGTTGTGCTGGAGTTTATTTCTAAGATGATTTTCAATCGCAGGCGACCACTGACTCTTTTTTGACAAGCGTTTGATTCGATATGCAATGACGTGGTTTACCTCATAGCTGATCATTTCTGACTTCTCTTCTCCCGGGATATGGATTTCTGGAAAAGATTTTCTCAGGCCAAAGAAGTCCGATATGATTTTGCGATATGGTCGACTTGTGAGGAGAAACTTTAACTTTCCATAGTTTACACCGCGACTGTAGAAATGCTTCTCGATGCTCTTTATTAGGCTTGCCGACTCAGAACACTCGTCAATTGCATCAAGTATAATAGTTACAAATCCTGCGCGGGGATCTTTGACAGCATTCAGGAATACATTCCATAGAGACGTTGTTGAATTGATCATGGCCGAAGCATCCTTTTCGTACAATGGTATTGCTGTCTCGATCAAACACGGTTTCATGGAGAAGAGCTGGTGAATCAAAGCGCAAAGTGCCTGACGGATTGTGTGCTGATCCTGTGCTTTGAAGAAAAAATAGCACACGTTCGTTGTCTTTGCTGTCTCTGGAAGCACATGATCGATCAGATATTTCGCGAGAACTGACTTGCCGCATCCAGGGTCTGCTGAAACGAACAGAGGGCCGGAGTCTGCCTTCAGCCACAATTGGAAGTTTTGGTGTCTTAGAAACCACATGCATGTATCTTCCACTCTATCTTCGACACGGTGCTTATACCACTCGTATGTAATGTCTCCAGTGCCGCTGGTAAGACGAAAGAGCTGGAGAAATTCCCGCTCCTGCTTTTGCTTCTTGTGTGAAGCCTGATCTTTCTGTACTTTGAGCTGTCGTTCCAAAACCTTTAATTGCTTGGTTGCAATATTTTCAAGACCTAAGAACAGTTGAGTAGTGTTCTTTTTGGAAATTTGGAAATTTGGAATTAATTACCTGATAGATGATCTCTGATTGAGACTTCGAGTGCCACCTTGTTTGGTTGTATTTGATTAAGAAGATCCTTCGTGTATGCAGCGGCCATCATCGCAGCATAGCCCTGCCATTGTTTATTTTTGTGAGAATCTGAATAATCACAAATGCCGCGTATGACAAGACAGGGAAAGTGGTTCATAAGACCTGCTGCTTCCATTTCAAAGCACAAGATACCCATGTCGCTGGCTAGTTGATCTCGAACCAAGGCATTCTTCATTAGTTGATTCGCCGATGCAATCAAGCCATAGTGAATCTCTGGGTCGTCGTCGTCCTCGGATCGCAGGTGTCGCACTTTTAGCCCTCGTGAACCACAGGCTGTCAAACAACTTTCTTCGCCATCCCCATGCGTTATTTCGGACTCATATAGTCTGTCACTGCTTGGGTCCGGTTGCTCGAATTTCTTCCGCAGCCTCTTGTTCTTTTGCAAAGTTCTTTCGACAACCGTCTTAAGGTGATGACCTTTTCGCTCATGCAAAGCTCGCAGGCCCGCAAGCGCTGAAAGTAAGATGGGTGGTGGCTGATTCAAGAACCCAGTAATTTGGAATCCTTGGCCTTGAATATTCTTGCCAAAATCATACTGGAGTAGTCCGCCGTTGCCATCTCCCGGATGGCTGACAACCACATCGCCCAGGCGAATATCGTGTTTCTCAGTAGGAGCCCCACCACCAATTCCCACCATGAGACCGATCTTAAGATTTGGGAATGAATGTAGTAGATCCTTGGCGACTGTTGCGGCGGAGGTTGTCCCGTATGCCCCTGAAGGCAAGGTCGCGATAACAACATTGTGTTTCCCGATTCGACCTAATGTATAGTGATTGTTGTCATGCTGGGAAATATATTCTGGTGGATCGTGTTCCTCATCAAGGAAGACTTGTGCGGCAATGTATTCAACTCTGATAGCACATATCCAACCGACGGTGTAGTCTCGTGGTTGAGACATTTTTGCTCGAAAGCTAGGTCGCTACCTGGCGTTGAATTTGAAGAAAGAGGACAACTTTCGAACCAGCGCAGGACACCAAAAACATGTTTTTATTTAGATGGAACTGAAAATCTTTAGTCGGTGTATTTAGTCGGTGTAGCATTGATCAGCTGGTATGGCTTTTCCTTATTTGGGCGATTACGTACAGGTGAATATGCAACTCTTACCCAATAGGAGCCATCATTGTTGGATGCCTTCTTGTATGCCTCGTTGGACGCCTTGGCTGAAAATGCACAGGCATGTATCGTATGTGGGGACTTTTCCTCTATTACCACTCAATCAGAGGGAAGCTTGTCGTAGTTACGGGTTCCCAGCATTCATGAGCGGAACATAATATGTGAGTATCTGAAAATAATGTCTACAATGGCACTTATGTTGAGATTCTGCGATCATCAACCAACTTCGGTAGCTTTAGCTATCCCGCTTCAAATTCAAATTCAAATTCATCATCATCCATGATAATAACGCAAGGCTGTGTAGTTTAGAAGCTCTCGGGAGCCATGTCTGTCCAGCTAGCGAGAATGTGAAATCAGGCGAAGGACTTATCTTTCACGGATTCCATTGTGAATGTTACAGTTACAAATTTAAGGCTCCAGAACAAGGACTTTATGGCTACCCTGGCTGGGAGGAGACAAGATGGGCTAGCCATCCTCAGATTTGAGGCGCGAAGGTCGAAATGGCCAGGCTTTCCGTCTCTAGCGAGCCTTTAAAGCCTAATTACCATATCAATCCTAACAACTTACCCAAGCGCTTTCCCTAGATCAAAAGAATGAAGACCAATGTTGATCCTAATGTGTCAAATTCATACTTGTTGTGGAGATATCTCAGGGTTACAAGGTCTTGTTTGGCGCTAGATGGCGAGAGTCTTGGCTATGCGTTTGATGTATCAAGGGATGTGGGAGCTTTTCCGCATTTTTTGCCAGGGTTAGGAGGTGAATGATGCAATACTTGAGAATATTTATTTTCTCTATAAAATAAGACTATTTGGTGGTTTCCAGGCCAAAGGAAGTCTGCCTACCTGTTATTGACCCTACCTCGCTCGCGGCTCTAGTAATTAATAGTAGACTCTCCCTGCTCAAGGATACAGAAAAATATATCCAGCTGTGACGTTTATCGATGATGAAAGATGACATCTTAGTGATCTGAGAGCCGTGGATGATTCAGGAAGGTGCCCATGGAAACGATGGTCTGATTTAATTGCGATTGTCTGTAGCATCGCAATGCAGAAACTAGCCCAGCTCGGCCCTTTGCGCATATCATACTCTGTCGATCAAGGATCTGCTATGGCAGGGATCAAATTCAAGCGAACGATAGGGCGAGTTGCGTAGTGTGGGCGGGCAAGGCGGCTGCTGCTGTCAAAAGTGCGTCTAAGTGCATTAAACTGGACTCCTTAAGCAGCCCCTCGGTCTGAAGCTGTCTGAAGCTGTCATTCACCATGGAGCAAAGTGGGCTCTGAATGGCTAGTCGCCGCAGGGATCGTCGGATTTCCACTGCAAAAGCGTTTTGTGCTCATCAATGCAAGCCGCTGGTCGTGTTTCAAGTCAAGGGGCTGGCCTCGTTTTGGACCCAATACCAAACGTCGAAACAAACCCCTGAAGCAAATCACCCAGGATTGGCAATTCCGCGAAACAACTCTAGTGGTATATTGTACGAATGAGGAAGGCATCGTGTTGAACATCGCCGGGAACGGGCTTGTGCCCAAGACATTTCCCCTCTTTGTGAATCATGATGCGACTCCAAGCGTGATGATGTTGATTATGCTCGTCTCCTTGAATCATTTTCACAATTATATAACGCGTGCCTCGCCTTCGCATTGTCGTCTCCTTTGCTCTACCTCAACCAAGCCATCATTCCATTCTTTTCCCCAGAGGCTGCTCCTCTCCCTTCATTCACCCATTCATTCATTTCTCGACATACACACATTCTTTCAATTGAAGCTGCGAGCAGCTTACCATCACCATGCGTGTCTTCTCTTCCGTCTCAGTGGCACTTGCTGTGCAAGCCACCAGCAGCTGGGCTGCTCCCCTCACGCGGGACGTGCTTGACTCTCACAAGGACATCGGTGTTGTCCTAGTAGAGGAACGATCCACTGGCAGTCTGGGGGATTTGCTGGGACAAATCCCCGGTCTTGATGGCATCGTCAATGGTACCATTGGTGATCTCCTAGACAAAATTGGTCTCGGGAGTGTTCTCGATGGAGGCCTTGATAACTACCTCAACGGCAGTGTCATTGATCTTTTGGCCCAAATCCCAGGCCTTGAGGGCGTTCTGGGTGGCGGCGTCGATGGTCTTTTCAACAGCACGCTCGGCAACATTGCACACAACATTCCTAGCCTCAACTCGACCCTCAACAGCGAATTTGATCTCAACAGCGCTCTCAATACTACCATTGGAGACGTTGTGAGCAACACAGGCATCCTCGATGGCGGCTTGGATGGCATTCTCAACAAAACAATTGCCGAGCTGGTCTCAAGCTTTGGAGTTTCTCTTGATGTGGCTGCCATTGGCAATAGCACAGTTCAAGATATACTAGCACAAATACCCGGGCTATCCGATTACTTCGGAGGCATCATTGGGTCTCTCATCAATCTGATTCCCGGCCTGAGCGATATTCTCAAGCTCACTGTCAACGATCTATGCATCAAGATCGGAATCAGCGGCGGATTAAACGGCCTTTTGAATGTGCCCATCAAAGACTTGTTGAGCCTGATTCCTGGGCTATCTGGTGTGGCCAATGGCAACCTTGACGGTGCTAAGAACGTGACAATTGGCGGTTTGGTGGATAATATTCCCGGACTATCAAGCATACTCGATGGCGGACTTGACGGCATTCTCAATTCGACTGTCAAAGATCTGCTTAGCAAGATCCCTGGCTTGGACAGCATCCTCAACAACGGCCTGATCACTAGCATTCCCGGTCTTAGCGACATCCTGAACAGCACTGTCAGCGAGCTCCTTGGTAGTATCTCTAACCAGACTATCAACGGCCTCGCAACCCAGTTCCCAGCTCTCTCCGGGGCTATTGACGGACTGAAGAGTATTCTGACTGGAACTGTCAGCAACCTGTTGGGCAACATTGGTCTCTCCAGCACTCTTAACGATGGTAGTGATGGTGTCCTGAAGGTTTCTGTTAAGAGTGTCTTGGACAACATCCCCGGTCTTTCTGGCCTGATCGGTGGCACTGACGGCAGTATCTTGGACAAGATCCCTATCATTGGTGACCTCTTCGGAAAGAAGTCATCTTGATATATTAGTACGGAATTCTCACGTAGCTACATTTCGATGCCTATGGCAGGCGGGCAGACCTAGCCTAGATTTCGAACATGTCTTTTTAACGTTTTCACGAAAGCTAAACAATGCGCATAAAAATATCCATAACAGATTCTATATAGCCTTTTCTTTTTCACAATGATGATTCGTTTCTTTTTTCGTTCAAGAAAAGATTCTTTAAAATTCCAGTTTCAAAATTTCTACCGTGATGGTGCTCAAAACATAAACAACTATCGTGACTATCCTCAAGGAAGCCAAATATTCAATAGCCGTCCGTACTTTCGTGCAAATAAGGTTTTCTTTATCTAATTATCTTCAAATAAAACTATTCTAATTAAATATCTAGCGTCTCCTTTTTTGCCAATGCCTCAATTCAAGCTGCCGCCTTGGTGCTTCAATCCCATTCGCCTCTTGCACGCTTTGCCTCATCAAACTCCACGTGGTAATTTGAGACAGGTTAACTCCTCTAGATCCATTGGATTTCATTCGGCTTCACCGCAGAAGGTTTCCGCATTCCAGCTCATGACTCTATTCATTGTCTACCTTGCATGGAATCCATCTGATTTCCAGATTTCAAATATTCCGCACTAACCCATCGCTGTGACCGTAGCTCTAACAGTAGTAAGTACAGATTAGGCATCTTCAGGGCCTAGACAACTTGCATATGTTAGCAGATTCATCGAAGCTAGTTAGTGCAGCAAATCTTCACTCAAAGTAGGTGTAGGCCAAGCACTAGCAGCATTGCTACATACCAACTCTGATCCGACCCAAGAGGAAACGCAGTCTAGGTCGTCTTGCCAGCCGGTATTTGGTCAATTTTTGTCTAGTTTCCCTCACAGATTGATATCAACACAAAATAAATAATCTGATTAGTTCTAGAACAATGAAGGGGGTTTGGGATTTCTGTCTTTCCAAGGCTTCTATGATCCTGAACATTCCAGCCGTAATGTCCCCACGAACCCACACGGGCCTTGCCTTGTAGTCATTATTAGGGTTGTTCGGGATTGTTATTTATCCAACGGAAGAAAACCCATCAGTAGCAAATGCTAGTCAGCACTTCGTACAAAATGAGATGTCCGGCCCATATAACGTGTGCACACCACACCTGATCTCAAAAGACGGCACTGTCCAATTGAACATTGGCTCTAAGCACTAGTCTCAGCCCTAAAACATTAAATTATGATTATTTCTGTGGCTTACTCGTGGATGGCTCGAAATCGGCCAGTGACAATGGAGCCAGTTCCAAGTGTCGTCATAGCTTATGTTGGCGTCGTATTCAGATGGCCACAGAGTTCCTTATTGTGAATCGTGAATCGGCATAATTTGGTAATGAATTTATTGCAATCACGGCCTTGAGAAGTCGATACTCTTCTGTGCCGGATTGTAGAGTAGCTCGTATCAACTTACGCGATCAAGATACTGTGATGGCCTCGGGGTCAACGATCACCGACCGATGAAAGCCAGTACAGTGTACAATCTTAGCAATGGTTCGGGTCACCCGTGGATGGGTCTCGTTCCCCATCTGAGCTGAACAGCCACTTCCAAATTAGCATAGTCTAGGCGGTCTCGATAAACCTTGACGCCACACTGCCTGTCGGGAACGCCATGGAATCGATCCTAGGCCCCTCTTGGGATAGAGCTGTTCTTGCATCAGCAGCTCGGCTCAGATGCCGTGGCTGATTTAATATCCC